CGCGCAACACTCGCGACCGGGGCCGGGAGAGCCACAGCCCCGCCGCCGGGCGCGGCTAGCGCGGTGGCGGCTCTGGGAGTCGTGACGGCCCCGAGGCGGTAGCGGGACATCCAGAGCTCAGGTCAGGCGCGGGGCCGCCGGGGCCCACTGACTCCGCGGGCACTAGGTGCGTGGCCAGCAGAGGCTGCTGGAAGCTGCTGGTGCGGCCACTGGCTCGCAGTGGGCAGGTGGGCGCTACTGCGCATGCGGGCCTGCCCACCCCGCTCGACGGCACAGCCACCAGGGCTGGACACCGCGGACCACAGGAGGGACTCGCGAAAGGGGACACAGTCCCACCGTCAAAGGCAGACGGGCGGGCCTAAGGGAGACCAGGCACAGAGCTGCTCCCAGCAGGAGCACAGGGGGTTCGAAGGGATGCCCAGCCAGGGGGTGTGGGCAACCGGACATACTGATTGGAGCTGAGACGGCCAAAGGCGATGGTAAAAGTGAAACTGGCCCCAGAGAGCTGCCCTGCCTGCTGCAGTGGGCGGGGGCGGCGCTACAGAGCCCAGGAGCCCCTGCCAGAAGCTGGCCTGGGGAGGGGCTTTTGGTGCTGGACAGGCCATCCAGCCCCCAGGAGCCAGGGTCAGCGGTCTGGCCAGCCGAGATCCCCCACTTGCACGCAAGGAAGCACGAGGCTGGGCTCCGGCTGCAGTCTGTACACCAGCTTTATTTGTAGGGTCCGCGCAGGTGGAGGAGGCCAGCGCCGGCATGTAGCGCCCCCCGGCCTGGGGGTCAAGGCCTGGGCTGCTGGGGGCTGAGCCCACAGGTGGGGGCTCAGCGGTACTGCACCACCCTGGAGAACACGCCTGCGGGCTCCTGCCCGTCCCCCAGGGCAGCCGCAAACCCCTCCTCTCGCCGCCTCTTGGCCAGAGCAGCCAGAGATTTGAAGGTCTTCGGTTCGTAGATGGCCAGGTCTGCGAGCACCTTCCTGTTCAGCTCCACCTGGCACTGGGGAGAGGGCCGGGCTCAGGCGCCCACGGCTGAAAGGGGCACCACCAGGTCCTCGCTGCTGCGGACACTCCTGTGCCCACAGGGTCTGGGCGTGGTGGGCTCGCCCGAGGAGCAAGGGTAGGGAAATCGTTGCAGGGGGTCGACCAGGACAGCCCGGCTGTCCGCAGGGGTGACCCTAGCGTCCGTGTGGCAGAGGAAGGCGCAGCCCGTTTTACACACGATGAAACGACAGAAACGAAGCGCGCCCCGAATCGCGGCCTCATCCCGCCTCATGCAGCCTCGCGGGAGGCGCCCCGGCGCAGAGCTCCGCCTGGACGCGAGGCCGGTCGCCGGGGTCAGAGGCAACAGGAGCCGCCCCCGCGCGCCCCCCCCGACCGCGCCCCTCCCCTCCGCGTCCAGCGGGCGGGGCCGGCCGGCGCCCCTACCTTGACGAGACTGCCCACGAGCGCGGGGTACTTCAGGCCGTGCTCCTGGGAGGCGGCGGCGACGCGGCCGATCCAGAGCTGAAACGAGACGGGGTCAGGCGCGCGCGGGGCGGCGGCGCGGGGGGCAGCTCTTTCAGC